ACCTGTAGAGGATGTCTATTCACTCTTTTGCTTCTTTCTTTGGGCAGGAATGTGTCATATTTTACCTGGGCTTTGGGGAAACAGCTGTAATGAAGAATTTTCCTCGAGAACTTATGTTTGGGGGCCTCTTTTGTTGAATTGTGTGTGGTGCACATAAGTATTTACCTCGCTTTGTATGGGCCTCTTCCTTTGCTTTTTGTGTGTGCGCCCTGAATTATTTAACACAATGGTGCAGATGGACTTCTCTGGGTGTGTTTATATTTAGCCTGTGCTTCTCACCCGCCTCCCCCCAAAGAATATGGCTATGCAGCATAGGGAGGAGTTTTATAGGGACATCCAGAAGTTTTGAAATTCAAAATGTTTTAAGCTAAAAATAGCCATTCTTTGTTCCAAGATCAAAATAAAATACCTGTGTTCTAGAAATCTGTTCCTCCTATTCAGAGCACTAAAATTAGATTATTGTTTTATGGATTATTTTTTTAATTTCCAGTCTAGCCAGTGGAGGAGCAACGACTGCCACTGACTCAGCCCAGCTTGGGTGATGTGGGGCGGGGAGAGCAGCAGCGACTTAAGCACAAGGCTCGTAATCTAAGAGCCACTATAGCCTGCCTGGTGGATTTGGAAAAAAGCCAGAAAAATTTGGGCTCAAATACACACAGTGATACAAGGAATTTTAAAGATTAATATTCAGTTGAAATTAGAACTTTTCTTGTTGGGGCTAAAGGATAGACAATTAGAAAAGAGTTACGGATTACTGTTTTTATATATAATTGCGGCGAGATTATTATATGCGCAAAACTGGAAAGACTCTAAAATATCCACAACAGAGGAATGGCTGGTGAAGATGACAGAATTAGCAGAGATGGCAAAACTGATTTGTTTGATTAAAGAAAGGACAACAACTACTTTTATTAGTGACTGGAAACCCCTTATGGGCTTTTCGCTGAAAAAAGGAAAAAAATGAACTTGTGATTTATGGGTTTGATGATTAGAAAGGGTAGACTATGGAAAGGAGGAAATTATGTTGTAACCTTAGAGAGAAAGGATAAAACATGAATGTACTTGTAACTGCTGTTAAGATTGGAAGCTGCTCCTTTATAACTTTTCCTTTTTTTCCTTTTCCCTTTTTTCTTTCTCTTTCTTTGTACTTTTTTCACTTACTTATTACTCTTCTTTACATTCCTTACTTTTCTTTCAAAATCTGTATTTTTTAATTCTTTTAAAATTTCTTTAATAAAAAATTACACACAAAAGCCGCTACAGTCTGTCTTATTGCGGGACACCAAGGTCCAGGACCATTGCCGCAACTCCCTGATGAACCAACTGTTGCTTATAAATGCCAAGACCACCACTAGTACTATCTTGGGATTGTTTGGTGAGCTTGGTGTATGCTTGGTGTATTTTAAAAGACGCTGATAAAAAGATGCTTTTAAATCGTTGCAGTTATTGCTTATGGATATATTTGTAACATTTCAATAAAATTAAAAACCATTCTCTTTGGCAATTTTTCTATATGTTGAATGGCAGGTAGCAGTCAGCATGAATAACCACCCCACCTACTATTGTGGTCATGGGGTGAGAAATGAAGGAGCAAAAGCTATTTCTAAATTCCCATTTTTTCTGTGGTCATAATATTCAAGCCATTCTGAATGTTGTTCCGTTATGTAGAGAGCATAGAGAACGGCCTTGAAGGACAGGTGAAAGAGCTGCTATCAAGGCAACAGTCAGATAAGAGAGGCTTGAGCCAATGCCAAGAAATTAGTTTGAGAAAACGTCTCAGGCAAGCTCCTCCCTAGTTTACCCAAAGATAAACGGAGGGAGGAGGAAGCACATTCAGACTTGCAGGATTCCGTTACTACAGCTACAGGCTGTCCTTGGGTTACGACCACTTGTTCAGCGACCTTTCAAAGTTACGACGGTGCTGAACGAGGGGGACTTACAACCAGTCCTTGAAGTTCTGCCTGTCACAGCACCCCCACAGTCACGTGATCGCAATTCAGGTGCTTGGCAACCAGCTCACACTTACAACGGCTGCAGCGTCCCATGGTCACATGATTGCCATTTGTGACCTTCCCTGCCAGCAAAATCAATGGGAAAACCAGCAGGAAAAGCTGCAAGTTGCTCCCACTTTTTCTCCCAAGGAGCCTTGCCATGGAGTACACGATCCCAGGGATCTTGTACGCCGTAGCACCCCCGCCCACCCACGCTCCATAGGGCCTCATTTATTTGGGCCTCACATATTTGGCCAGGACAGTCATCTCTGAAATGGATATTGGAACAGAAAACTAGGGGTTTAAAAGAGCAGTTTGGTGCTTTGGAGCTCATCTCTCCTTTTGCCTTCTTCTTAGATTTATAAAGAAGTTATTTTGCTTGCCGTAGTTTAGCTTCCCGGACAGTGTTCCTGACTATGTACGTTCACTGTAGCTCCAATCTGGTAAGCAGTCGAACCCTGCTGCGTGGAAACCTTTTGCCCAAACCCCTCACAATAGTCTCAAAATTCCAAAATGGTCCCCTTAGAACAGTGTTGTCCAAACGTGGCCACTTTAAGATGAGCGGACTTCAACTCCCAGAATTCCCCAGCTGGCCATTCTGGCTTGGGGATTCTGGGAGGTGGGGGCCGCCCATCCTAAAGGGGCCCCGGTTTGAGAAAAACGT